GGTTCTCCAAACTACTCAAAATTTCCGCTACTGGTTCTCTAGAACCTGTGAGAACTGGCTGAATACCACCTCTGCACATCTCAGAGGGTTGATAGTGAATGTAACTCTATGATCTGTATGGATAATCACTGGGCACTTGACTGAGTGGCAAACACACTGTATCTCTCACTGCTGCTAGCCCAGCACTGTCACCCACACTTTTCCTATGCCCAGAGGCCTCCAGTGCAGAGAATAAAGCAGGGGTGTCCAAACTTGGGAATTTTAAGATTCGTGGACTTCAACTCCCAGAATCCCCCAGCCAGCATGGCTGGCTGGCTGGCTGGGGAATTCTGGGAGTTGAAGTCCACAAGTCTTAAAGTTCCCAGGTTTGGACACCCTTGGAATAAAGAAAATGGCATTGAAAGATATGCAAACTCCAGTACTAAAGAGAAGGGGCGTGGGGAAACACCTCCCAAGTCTGCAGCACACATATTTTACACAGAAGAGACTCAGATTGACACCTCTTTAATTCACAGAAGTAGAAGGGGGTGGGGGAGAAGATACAGCCCAATCAAAATTGCAAGGTTTTCTCATTACATCTAGTTTCAACGAGGAAAAAAAGTGATAAGTGTTCTTCTGCAGTTGATCCTTTGGTCTGCTCTCCCACGCTGCAGTCTTCAATTCTTCAATTTTGGACATGAGATTGAACTAGAGGAGTGGCAGAAATTGTAGTCTCAAAATTATAAAATGACAATGTCAACAGCATATAAGGAAAATTTGTATAAGATGTTTTACAGGTGGCATTTACCCCCAATGTTCAAGAACAAATTGGAAAAGTGTTGGAAATGTCATCAGACACCGGGTTCATACTACCGTATGTTGTGGACTTGCACAGAAGCGAAAAGATATTGGACTAAAATCCACACGTGGTTGGAGAAAATGATACTAAAACAAAGATTTTTTTATTGGGAATTATACCGGAAATATACAAGAGACCTGAAATATTTGAATGTAAATGTTTTAATGGCAGCTAAAATTGTATTTGCAAAAAATTGGAAAAATGAGAAAATACCAACGCAGGAGGAAGTTATTCGAAAAATAATGGAATGTGCTGAAATAAGCAAATTGACATTTGAAATTAGAGAACAAGAAGATGAACAATTATATAAGGTATGGGATTTGTTCTATTAGTGATTAGATAAAAAAAAACATGGAAATGAAAAATGTTGGAGAATTGTTTATACTGTTAAGAATAATAGAACGATATAGGTGATATCATAAAGGCATATTATTATTACATAGACTAAGAATGATGCAATGGAATGTTGGTATATATACAAATCCAATACCTAGAATATTTTGATGGGAGCACCCACAACCTCTGGAGGGAAGCCATTCCCAAAGAATCCTCCTTAATTTAAAAGAGGTTTTAAAAATCTTCCCACCAGGAGGAAAATTGCAGCCACCAATTTCACAGCGTGCAGCCCCAGTGGGCTTAAATTCGGGGAGGGAAGGAACCTGCAGCAGCAGCAGCTGAGATGCTTCAGCCCAGTTGCTTCTCTGCCTCCAGGCCGTGGAGGGAACCGAACAGCCCGACTTGCTCCAGGACTCTCTTCCCACCGGCCCTTCACTCACCTTCCAGCTGCTGCTTCGAC